CGTCGAACTTCCATTTAATTGTTACGAAGTAATAGAAAGTTCTTTTATTGTAAGTTAAAATTGAATTTGTCAGCAGTTATATTTAAAAATGAGCTTGGACATTTATAATTCTGATTTTTTTAAGTTTGTTTGTCTTAGTTGTTTATTTTTCTATATTTCTCCCAGAAATTTTACCCCGATCACACAGTTAATTTTCCAGTGAAATACACTGTAACAGGTAATTATTTTGTTTCTAGTAATCTGCACTGTACTTATCAGTTTAATATTCACTAAAGCTACCTTAGATGGGGCGATCAAAATTCACAAATTTTTGTTAAGTAACCTTATGAAATTACCATCCGGATTTTTTGAAGTCACTCCAAACGGACGTATATTGGCCAGATTTTCAAATGATATAAACGGTGTCGATATAAGATTACCCCTGAATTTTCGGGTTTTGATGCAAAACACCGTAAGGGTATGTTTATATTCAATTTTTTTATTCTTGCGTTTCTAGTTGAGTTCTATTTCATCCGGGAGAGGTACTTCTTTTCAATCTGTTGTGTGTTACATCGCATATATTGTCAAATTTTTTCAAAATCACATTCACGTCATAGAATCGTTATAAATAACTACTATCTACAATTTATGTATATCATTATGAAAATTTTAGTTCCTTCATTTACGCTCACTGTATGGTACTTTTGAAATACTTTGTCGAAAAAATCTGTAGTTTATTTGAATATTTACTTGTATATCAAAAATTCCATCGGTATATTGTAGTTTTTCTCAATATATGTAAAAGCACTTTGTTTTTGCACTTTACTAACATGACAAATATGTACCAGGTATTGTTACATTTACATGTTTTAAGTATGTGATTGAAATCCCCACAAACAATCAAACTTAGGAATCGGAACACTAGATGACGACTCTCATAAAATCCCTGTCATCCTTAGTTACACTCCCGGCAAGGGTGACGGGAATTTTATTGGAGAGTCACAATTAGTATTTTCGTTCCTAAGTGACTGAAAATTTGTCCAGTTGCACCTGACATTTACATGTTCTTCTGGATATACCTTTATGGATTTTTGAGAAGTAATTGTCATAGTAATACTTTCAGATTCTTAAGTGTCAATGTACATGTGTTTTGTATACAGAAAAGCAGAATCAGGTCGACAAAATTTATTATAACTGGAATAATAAGGTTTTACGGAAACTGAACAAACCCACAAGTATTTGGTGGAGGGAAGGTTACTAAACAAGTCAGTTGGCCAGATTTTTTAAAATTTATCCTTAATTTTAGTGAATAAAAGAAGTATCTGAAAGTTTGAGTGTACAAATTTATCGGTACATTTGAACTACTGTAGAACCTCGATTATTCGAGCCTCACAGAAATGGATCATTCACAGATTATTGAAAAACATGGATGTGTAAAACATATCTCCTAGTCGAGATACCTTATACACATATTTTCCTTATAAAAAAGTGCGCAAGTTTTAAATTTTAAGTGTTCTAATCGATAATACAACTGATAAAACTTGTTAGACAAAAAAAAAAATGAAATCAACATAACATACTAACAACGAGCGCACAAGTTATAAACAAAATACTTGAAATAAATTCTCTCCTGCATTGTTAATCGAGGTTCTATTTACTTGGCTTTTTCACTTATACATAACAATCAACCAAGGAAAGCTTTCTCAGGACAAAAAGTTAGGAAGCTTCTTAATATTTCTATCCCTATAAATGAAATAAAATAATTTTTTTAAATAATTTCAAGCTTTCTGTGTAGTTTTCAATGACAGTGGGCTCTTTTAGCAATTTTTTTGTAATAGATGATTTTTTACAAACTTTGTTTATTTAGTAAATGGCTAGTAATAATTATTAAAAAAAAAAAAAAAAAATAGTGAAAGTGATATGTAAATATAATCAATACATAATTGTTGAATAATGCAATCTTTCAAAGAAAAATCTTGTGTTCTTGTTCTAATATCATGTAAAAATATAGCCACAATAGGAACATTTATAAGCAATTAGCAATTCACTTTACTTTAATAAGTCCGTGGTTGGGCCTTCTGATTGTCCCTAAGTATTCCTAAAAGAGTCCATTGATTAATCCGTTATTTGTCTTATTGCACAGGCATAGTTTTTCATAGCTAAATTTAGTTAAATTTTTAAATACACCTGCTTAGCACTACTAACCAAACCGCAGTCATTTCCATAACGCAATGTTTTACGAATAAGCACTACATTCTTAACCACTCTTCCCACTCGAACTAACCGGCACACTTTTACAGCTGTTACGTCAGTATTTTCTGAACTGGCACCAGGTTTGGGCTGTGTTGCGGCAGCAAAAGGCTTACATCAATTATTAACTAGTGGTGTTTTCCGTTCTCCTATGACATTTTTCGATACCACTCCTCTTGGACGAATATTATCCCGTTTTTCTAAAGACATAGAAGTCGTGGATAATAGTCTGCCATGGTATGTTTCGGATGGAGTGTATTGCTTCTTTGAGGTACTTATTTTATTTTTATTTTTTATCAAGTAAGTGCAGTTGACAGTACTCTTGCTACACTAATGATTAATTCTTAAATTTGTGAGATTTTATTTATTGGACTTGTTGAAATAAGTCGACGCATTCAGCAGAGAAGTTTTCAACAAGGGTCCAATTTCGATTCAAATTGGTTTCTGCTTGAAAACCCAATCATTTATAATCTTTTTAAGATTCAATTTGAGGCCAAGTTTCAACTAGAATTAGTGCATCCTGTAGAGTTATTGTACATATTCATATCCAAGTCTTAAGCTTTCATCACCTTAGTCCATTTTAGAATTAAATTGTACGTAGCTATTTATCTACACTATCCATATACTGAGTGTAACTTTGAATGAGGGTCACATTTATATGCAGGCTACTTTTGATCTTTAGAAATACACATCTCATATACGCGTTTTGTCATATCACACAGAAATTTAACAATGAAGACACACAAACACACCGTACCGTCACAAAATGCTTTCTTAAGGAGGTGTATCGGGGTCCGAGGGAAGTGAGGAGCGCAGGGGGGTCCTATGCTTTTCTTATGGGACTAAAACCCGCTGCCAATTTGAAAAAATTAAATTCTGTTGAAATTATTTGCGATAAACATTATCTATATAGCAAAGAAATCTTCTCGTATGCACATAGCATACATACTGACTAATTAACAACATAAACATATATTTAAGTAGTTTTAAATTATATTTAATGAATTCATAAAGACTATGTAGATGTGGCAAGAGCACTGATAATTGACTAGCAGTTGTACACACTGCGAACCAACAGACCTCGGACATCGGAGATATTACGCGTCAAATTCGGGTAAAGATGCGTACGCGTTCAAAAATGTATTGTGTGTAAACTATGTACAATATATATTTTCGGCACATCATCCCCATTGACAAGGAAAAATGTATTGGGCTTTAAAATAAGACGTCGCAAAGTCATAGGAAAGCGATTCGTAAGTTGCACACAATTGGCTTAAAAAGGCAGCACTGGTAAGCGTGCTAATACAACTGGGTCCATGTGCTGCCTAGTGACGGCGTAGACAATAGTTTAGTGCAGTTTAAAGGACGAATTATAATTCTACTATTTATTCTATTAAATAAAATCTAGATTCTTTTAAAAAACTGACCCCCATTTGAAATTACACTTTGTATATAATTACTTAAAGCTTGTAGTAGTTTTTGTATACATGCAAACGCATCGACATCTCGTAAACAACTTAAATGAAAGTCTCTATTAATAGCTTTGCTTTTCATAGTTTCATAGTTTCATAGTTTCATAGTTTGATATAATACTCGTTTTCTTGTGAAGAAAGTGTGGAACATCCAAAATTACTCAGATTTTTTTTAAAGCTCTGGGAAATGTTTTTGTATTTCATATTATCTAATGCTAACATTAATGTGAATTTGTATATACAGGGTGATCCAGGACAAATAGTTAATTTTTGGGTGGTTATTCTATTATAACAATGTTATTGAAACGGTTTAATTCTGATACTATATCGGAGATTGGGAGAGGAAATAAAAAACTTTTTTTTTTGGGTATTGTCAAATTTAAAGAGCGAAAATTGATCTCAATATTGGCAACCATAATAAACTTCTTAAATATTTGAAGTAATCACAAAATTAAAAATTATGAAATGTAATTAAAATTGACAAACAAATACCTACTAAAAGTCACAAAAAATCATTAAAATTGGACAGTAAATTAGAACCAGTTCTATTGTCTCCAATTTATTAAATTATTAAAGCTAGGAATTATACCACGATTTATGTACTTAATACTTGTATCAATTTAATTTGGCCAATTTATTGAGTCAAAAAATTGGAATTAAAATTAAAATTTTTAAACACATCGAATTCAGTAATATTTTGTAGTTATTTTTTTAATTACGTCGGTAATTTTGTTTTTGGACATATTATTTTGTTCCGTCCGTTTGTAAAACTAAATGTCTCGGTATATTTGTTACCTTATTTTCCTACAAGTATAAATAACACTTATTGAGGCGCATATATGATGAGAAAAAAATGTAAAAATTTATGTCACGTGTAACTAAACATTACAACATATACCATGATGAGTGATTGGTTGCTTGAAATTGCACAAAATATATTTATTGATCTGCACCACTACACACATTACCACTACACAGCAAAATATACATAATTTGTAATAACACGACTTACATTAAAAGATATATATTAATTTTTTTAATTTGTGCGTTTAACCACTGCACATAATATACACAATTGCTTTTCTTATAAAAATTTATTTCTTATCTAGCACTTATATTTGTTATTTTTGTTTTATTTTCCAACAATATAATCGTTCTTTTTAGTTTGATTATCCGTGTAAAAAGGTTTCAGGGTATGCTTTAAATTGAAAAAATGAAAATATTTAAATATAACTGCTTTGCTTGAGTTCTATAGTGTCTCCTGTAAAATAAACGATGTACTAACATTGTGTGTTTTAGGTTATAGGGACCATAGCGGTTATAAGTTACACTACCCCTTTGTTTATGCTTGTAATCGTACCCATCGGTCTGTTGTATTATTTTATACAGAGATTTTATGTCGCTACGTCACGCCAACTGAAAAGATTAGAATCCGTGTCACGGTCCCCGATATATTCGCATTTCGGAGAAACCGTGACGGGAGTACAAGCAATCAGAGCTTATGGGCAACAAGAGAGATTCATTAGCGAGTCCGAGTACAAAGTGGATCTGAACCAGGTCTGTTATTATCCGAGTGTCATCTCGAACAGGTGGTTAGCCGTAAGGCTGGAGATGATCGGCAACTTGATTATACTGTTTGCTTCGTTATTCGCCGTTCTAGGAAAGGAACAGGATCCTTCATTGGTTGGTCTGTCCATTACGTACGCGTTACAGGTAAATATGAAAAAAAAAAAATTATCTCTAAAATTTATGTTACGATATGTTAAACATTTTTGGGAATTTGATGTCTAGACATGAAAAAAAAAAGAGTCTCCAGTTCTTTTATTAGCTTGGAGATAGCTGATTACTATATAGAAAATATAAATTTTTTCAAATTTGGAAGTTTTTCATATTATCGGGGGGAGATAGACAAATAGTAGTTCAAATGTACCGGGCTTAATTTTCAATAGAAATTGAAGTGTTTTTGAACTTTCGTCATTTTCTGTGATATGGAATGACTTTTTTGTGGGAAATGTTGTGGTACGCCCAATATTTTTCTGTAATTTTCGATATTTCACTTATAACCCAAACATATTATAGATCACGCAAACTCTCAACTGGTTGGTGAGAATGACATCCGACGTGGAGACTAATATAGTGGCAGTGGAACGTATCAAAGAGTACGGAGAAGCTCCACAAGAAGCCCCTTGGGAAATACCTAACAAAAATCCTTCATCGGCTTGGCCAGAGCACGGATCAGTTGAATTTAACAACTACGCCGTAAGATATCGACCTGGTTTAGACCTAGTTTTGAAAGGCGTCGATTTCCACATCAAGGGTGGGGAAAAGGTCGGCATTGTAGGGAGGACCGGCGCAGGAAAATCTAGTTTGACTTTGTCGTTATTCAGGTAAATTTATTTAGTTCCCTTGCGGGCAGAATTTTTTCATCTTCAAAGGTCATTCGTTCGGGAACATGCTAAAATTCATAAGTGACAACAATTAACAAAGTTATATTTATCTAAATATTTTCCAAAATGTTATTTCTTTGTTTTTTTTTTCAACTCTGCATTTTTTCTTCAAAATTTGTTGGCCGAGAATATAAATAAATTTAATATTCATAATTACTCATAAGTCTGGTGTGAAAATATGTAAATTCATTGCGCATTCACTCTTATTTGAACAGTTGCACATGTTTACAAAAGCAGTAGATTTTAACTTACGGCAAGTGTCAACAAAATGCTGCTGCAGCACACGGAAAGATTTCCTTTGAGAAATCGACACTGCAAACGTTTGCTAACTCGGTTCGTGATACAGATGAAACTGTATATGCAGTTTTTATAAATTTTCAGGATTATCGAGGCCGCTCAAGGACAAATCTGCATCGATGGTGTCAATATCGCGGAATTAGGGTTGCACACCTTAAGGTCCCGTTTGACGATCATTCCCCAAGACGCCGTGCTGTTTTCCGGAACGCTCCGCATGAATTTGGATCCTTTCGACAAGCACTCGGACGAGGAGGTATGGCGGGCTCTGGAGCACGCTCATCTGAAAGTTTTTGTGAGCGGTAAGTTTGCGCCGGTTTATTCTTTATTGAATTTTTTTTAAATACTCGTATGACGGATCGCAGTGTTTGAAAAATTCGTCCCTAATACTTTTTTACGAGGTGTCCTAATATTCCATATAGAAATTATACCACAAATTCTCTCTTCTATTCAGAGTTGTTTCGTCAAGGCCACAATTTGTATATAAAAAATTTGTAATGCAGTTGATTAATCTCTCGCCAGATGGCGTTAAAAAACATTTCATTAAACGCGGCAATTTTGTGGTTTTTACTGCAGTCGTAAACATGACCTTCAAACTTTTTAAGTTCAGCGTTGGAATTCTACCTGCCCATGCCCTTTTTTTTCTTCCTAGAGCTCATTGTTTTTAAAATTTATTTAAATATTTTTAAATCTGCAAATTAGCTAGTGTCAAAATCATAATCGTAGAGCAATGAGTAAAGGCTCAAAATTTGCATAAAAATCGTAGCAATTAAATAATCGATGGGATAATTTTATCTGAAAAAAATTTACCACAACTTTTAATATTAAAAACTTATTTAAACAATTTGCACTTCAATAATCAACTTTTCCTTTATTGTACGTTGTAGTACAACTCTTCACGAGTAAAATAAGCCCTCAAACAAGTTTCTATGATGTCACAAAGATGTAGAAATTAGAATCTGCCAAGAGCCTTCTTTTAATAACAAATAGCTTTTAACAAAAACTAATAAATATTTTGAGCTAAAATTTATACCACGTATTAAGTATAAAATTACATTAAAAAAAAGTAGTACGATTTTTTAGAAGCAAAACTAATTGAATTATATAAAATTGAGAAAAACCCTAAAATTGGCGGTTTGAGTTTTGTACGAAAACTAATTAACGTATTTTGATAGAGCGCATCTCATTTGGAGGTATTTTTAATACTTATAAAAAAGTATTAAAATTTTTGTCAGTAGCATCATCGGTTGGATAGTTGAACACAAAGAACCGGTTTTTCGAGTTTTTTTTGATTATTTAAACAATGTTCCGCCACCGGGAACTGGTCTCAAACTATTGTCCTAATGTCCTGGCACCCTTCCGAAAATGTTTGATTAATAATATAAAACTAGTACAGTCGTTGAAGCTGAAAATCAGCTGTATCTTCCGAATTCTTTGAAACTTCATGGATTTGAATGAAAATTTAGAATAATTCTCATCTTAGGCTCAAGTTCAAAAGTGACATAAGCCCGATTGACGCTCTTTGTTTTTTAGGGGTAAAAACTACCCCTAAGTGAAAAAATTGTTCAAGCACAAAGATTAAATAGTGTTCCATGTTCTCGAACATGTTTTATGATATGTTTGATCTTTTCGACCCTTTATTTAACCCTTAAAAACTACCCCTATGCAAAAATAATGATAAAAAATTACTTTTTAAAGATTTGGAATGATTAAATCGTGCAAATATTTAAAATAAAAGTTACCTTATAGCTAATAAAAGAATTTTTCCCTTTCAACCCCTAAAAACCACCCGGGTATTGACAAAAATTATAAAAAATTACTTTTTAAAAGCTTGGAATGCTTTAACGGTGCAATTATATAAAATAAAAATTCCCTCATTGCTTATGAAAGAATTTGTATCTCATAACACTTTTCAACCCTTATAAATCACCCCTGTGATAAAAAAATAATAAAAAATTACTTTTTAAATCTTGGAATGCTATAATTGTGCAATAATTTAAAATAAAAATTCCCTTAAATTGTTTATGAAAGAATATTTTACTTTTGCCATTTTCAACTCTTATAAACCACCCTTTTACCAATATTAATGTAAAATATTTTTATTATAATCGATTTTTAAATATAATCAATCTTAAAAAATATTGCTACGATGCATATAAATAATCACACTAAATTTTTTTTACTGATTTTAGTTGTAAAATATAATATAGTAGTATAATAAAAATGAGAATGCCTATTTTGCTCCGAAAAAATGTCATTGGCTTTTTTACCATAACTTAGTTAATTTTGAAGCTATAGTATCCTACAAAAAAGCATTTTAAAGATAATTTCAAGAGCTGTAAGATCGTTTGCATATAAAACCTTTAAGTCCTTCCTTTTTTAAAGGGAAAGGACGGAAGGGCTCGAGATAGGTCGTTTTTTTCACTAACATGGATACTTAAGCGGCGATATCTCCTTTATTTTTTATACTATAGGAATAAAAAAAAGCAAAATATTTTTTACGTATCTTTCATAGTGTCAAAGTTATTATATAAATAAGGCAATTTTTTTTTGAATAATGAAAAATACGTTTTCAACTTTTACCGTACATTATTAAAAAAAATACGCATTCTAAACCGGTCTAACTTCAGGCTCGTATGAAAAACACTAAAACAAAACTAATTGTAAAGGGTCTATGATTAATTTTAATTCTGATGGAAATGGTACAGCGTTTACTGATCATTTTTCCTAAAATATGAGCAACCCATCTGTTTTTGACGATAACTTCTTCAATTTTGCTCTAATTAACTTTTATAAGTGCTCATTCTGAAGGTGTTTTAGAGTACTACAAAACACTCCCGGAGCGTTATACACGTAAAATTAATCCTTTTTCCATTATTTGACGTTGAATACATTGATTTGAGTATTCCCCCCGAAACTAGTCCCTTTACATTAACCATATTTCGTTTTCTATAGGATGTACAATACTTTTTAAAAAACGATTTTATTTGTTTATTTATAAGCTACATTTTTGTTTATTACACTTTTCCACCCCCGAGAAGGGGTGTCAACCCCCATCAGGGTGCAAGCGTCAATCGGTGCTATGTCACTAATATTCATTGACCTTTTCTCTAACTATCTACCAAATTTCAAGTCGATCGGTTCAGTTTCAAAGAATTTGGAGGTGAAAAGCTTCAATGATTGTACTATATACCCTCTTTTAATTAGTTCTCTAATCCGATTGGACTAATACTACTTCACACAGAACGTCATGAAATTGCCTGCCTTCACATAAACCGATAATTAAAATAAACGTAATAAAGTCAAGCGGTCACATATTTTTGATTCATCGAAGTAATGCCATCAGTTCGTTTTTTACAAGTCTAGCGCCATGTCATATCTTATCAGGTGTATTGATAGTAGTAGTTCACCTATACTCGGTTAATGAGATTCATAAATTAAGCACGGTGATTTAAAAAAATAATAAATAGCTTTTATTAAAAACTTGAAATTATTTTAGTACGAGAATCCTGTAAAACTTTTTGTGACCGGGTGGCTAGACGAAACAACTTTAGATGGAAGTAGACTTTATCGTATCTTGTTGCGATTGCACATATTCGTATTCCTTCAGGTCTTGCGGCTGCCCTTAACCACGAAGTGTCCGAGGGGGGCGAAAATCTCTCGGTAGGCCAGAGGCAGCTCATCTGCTTGGCCAGGGCCCTCCTCAGGAAAACTAAAGTGTTGGTCCTGGACGAAGCCACGGCCGCCGTCGATTTAGAAACCGACGATCTGATTCAGACAACGATCAGGACGGAATTCAAAACCTGTACGGTTCTTACCATAGCGCACAGGTTGAACACCATTATGGATTCGGACAGGGTCATAGTGTTGGATAAAGGTCAAATCGTGGAGTTTGACACGCCGGCCAATCTGCTGGCGAATCCCAACACGATATTCCACGGAATGTGCAGGGATGCCGGGTTAGTTTGATTTATATGAAATTTGTTATGAAATAATCAAGTTGATCTTTACGAATGCTTTGGATCTCGTTTCAAGCGATATTATAAAATTTGGAACAAAACGTTTAACTGGATTTTAATTTCGGATGCTGTCAATGTGTGTAGATTATATATTATACCAAGTACATCCTTTTTATATTTTTGTACTTAATAGATTTTATCGTTCAACTTTTGCCTTAAGAAAGTAACACTTATACAAGATGTGATCCTTATAGCTGTTCCCACTTTTAATCCGTTGATATAATATTTACGTACTGTAACGTAGATACCGTTTCTACCTAAAAAAGATCAGTATTTTTGCCAGTTTGTTTTGTAAATATGAGTTTTTATTTGTTAAGTAACTGATTAAGTGTTAAATTTTTTAAATGGATTACCATGTAAATTTTTATATAATAGATTAATTTTATTTTGTTCACCAACATCGTTTTATTTACTCACCCCTTTCCTCGCCGAGAATAATTCAAATAACGAGAAATCCCGTTAGAATTATTTTTTTATAACTTATCAATTGAAAATATTTGGTTGGTTGAATGGTTTCCGGGCTGGTTGCCACGTCGTCGATTTACAAGTCTTGACGTTTCATTGACGTTCGAAACGTCAAGAGCTGTAAATCGACGACGTGGCAACGTGGCTCAGAAATCATTCAACCATTAATGACAGCCACGGAAGCCTACAACCGACACAAAAAATTGAAAATATTTGCCTAAACATTTCATAATTCCAAAGAGTGACCGCAAAAAGTCATTTTTCCGCCTGTTTTTGAGACTGACAGAGGGGACGGGGCAAATTCTTAAAAATATTCTAAAAATATCCATATATTCGTCATGAAAAATGAAAATGAGTATCACTTTCAGTTTTTCGAAAATCGCCCTTATTTAGGGGTTGAAAAGACAAAAAAAGAACAAATTAAGAATCAACGGTTGTAAAACCCCAAATAATGTTTGTTTTTCGTTTTCCTTAAATGCCATTAAGTTTAATGATTACACGTTTCCGTAAAAATACTACTACACGTTGCTAGGAGAATGGTATGGGATTTTCCATATTATTTGATTTCATTTACATCTGCGACATTTATCTTAACATCTGTTTGAAATGAATTTATAAATAAATAGGATTGAATTATTTTTCTTTGTAATTCTATAATTATTGTTTCTCCGTAAATCACGGCCAAACAGTATTGCCAAAATTCTGCAAATCAAATTTTCTGCATATTATTCTGCAGAATTCTACAGCAAAATTTGGCATTTTACAGAAAAATCTGTAAATCTGGCATCACTGCGGCCAAAAATCAGCATAAAAAGTTTGTGCGCATGAGCAACACCAGCTTTTGATTGTCACTTGTTTGAATTGTTTGTTTTGTAGCGCGTTGGCGCGTATGTCGCGTTTACGTTCTTCACATTGTTAAAAAGTAAGGTTACATAGATGCAAAGCGGAAGTTTGTAGTTATTAATCGGGTTATATTTCGTATTAATGTCATTGTTTGTTGTTAATTTTTATCGGTTATTGAACATTATGTATAATAGTTACACTTGCGTGGATTTTTAACTTAAACAAAAGTGTTTGTGAGTGACAAAAAGTGTTGTCAAAGTAATGCTTTGAGTTTGTAAACCGTACCTAACCAAAATATTATTTTTTGTAAATATATGTCATTATTTAAAAGATGCAACAAACATGAAACAACGCATTTTATTAACGTAATTATGAAAAAAATATATATAGGTATAAAATATTTCAATGTTCTACAAAGTGTGCTCAAATTTATACCAAATACCAAATCATAATGAATATAAAATAAATTCAAAATGTTTTCATTAAAATGATTATTTAACATTTTTCTTGTCCAGCAAATACTTGATACTTGTTAAATACTGAATCACAATACAAGAGCTCTTTTCTTTTATTCATGATTTCGGAATCATAACTCATTACGATCCGAAATCTAGTAACCTGATTGGTTTCAATCGGATCGTAACGCGTTATGATTCCGAAATCATGAATAAAAGAAAAGGGATAAGGGCGTCGCCTGCCCCCCCTAGAGATTAAAAAAAAAATACAAAAATTTTCTTGATCTAAGAAAATATTAGATTGGAAATATTTAATAAAATATTTTATTTACTTAAACTTTAATTTTGAAAATTAATACACTACTTTATTTTTTAAAAAACAATTTAGTAATAAATTAGTATAAATATTTGTTGACAAAAGAATTTAAAAATATAAAATTTTATGTTAAAAAGTAATACACATTTCCGTATTTTAAAAATTTAGCTCTGGAATTTTAAATTAAAAAAATAAAAGAAACCTGGCTGAGATATACTATGCTTATTTTTGACAACCCTGAAGATTTTATTAATAAAGTGGTCGACACATTTTCAAAAAATCTACCTAATTACCTAATTTTCGTTGAATTTCTTAATTAAAAAAAAAAATGGTTTGGTTAAAGCCACGATATTTACAGGGTGTAACTAAATAATTGTAAAACATTTAAGGGGGTGATTCCTCATCCAAAAAAAGATAGGATCTTTCATATAAAGAAACTTCATTGGAGCATCCCTTGTTAAGATACAGCCCCTTAAAGGGGGTACATAAAATTTGTTTAACAATTTTTTTCACAAGCACTAAACAAGTTACAATATTGAAATTAACCTGACATTTTCTACTACCAAAAAGACACTTAGCCAGTAATTTATTTGGTTTACCCCATGGTTGTAAGGGGTGGAAAACGCAACCCCTAAAATTTATTTCCAACGTAATTTTTTGTCTTATTATTTTTTTACCATTTAAAAATTTATTTCCGATAGCCTGTTTCATTCTAAAAAAAAATGTCTCTTGAATTTTTTGCCCAAATTAAACCAGTTCGCAGCAAAAAATTATTTTACGAACAAGATACATATCGCCATAAAACGAAAATACGAAACTAATTTATCTAGTAGGCCGCCATTAGCGATACTGACAATTAAATTGGAATCAAGCTGTCAGTTTGTAAATTTTTGAAATTGAAGTAATACTAATTGTGTATTGTTCTGTTCTTAATTTGTTACTTTAATAATTCACTTGTTATTAAAATGGCATACACAAATGAGGAAATGGCTGATATGCATTACGTTTACGGTCTGTCGCAGGGGAATGGGTTAGAAGCTTCTACAAGATATGCTGAAATGTATCCTCAACGGCAGCATCCTTCACATAGAATATTTGTCTGACTTCATCAACGATTACGTGAATATGGTTCATTCAACAAAAGAACGCAGGATTGTGGTCGCCATCGAGAAGTAAGAACACCACAGCTTGAGGCAGCAGTACTTAATTTGATAGAAGAACAACCTACTACCAGTACTAGAAAGATTGCTTTCCAGCTAAATGTTGATCATATGACGGTATTTCGAATTTTAAAGGAACATCTCTTATACCCTTACCATCTGCAACGAGTACAGGCACTGTTACCGCGAGACTTTCCGAACCGTCTTGAATTTTGCAATTGGATGCTGGAAATGATTAGAAGAAATCGTGACTTTCTGAAGACGATCGAATTCACAGACGAATGTAGTTTTTCTCGGGACAAGATTATTAATTTTCATAATTACCACATATGGGCTGATGAAAACCATCACGCTATTGTCGAAACTAACCATCAAGAACAGTTTTCTCTTAAGGTGTGGGTCGGAGTTATTGGGGATTATTTAATTGGGCCTCATTTTCTACCTCCTCGATTAAATGGTGAGGCATACGTTCAATTTTTAAGAAAAGTGCATCCCCCCGTACTGCTGGAGGAAGTTCCTTTGGGCGTCAGAAGGGATATGGTTTTTATGCATGATGGGGCTCCCGCCCATTTTAGTCAAGTAGCACGTCAGCATTTAACTGAAACATATGCAAATCAGTGGATAGGTCGAGGAGGACCACAGAATTGGCCCGCTCGATCCCCGGATCTCAATCCTCTGGATTTGTCTACTTGGGGCCATTTGCAGCATTTGGTTTATCGTACTCCTGTTCGCGATGTAGAGGACTTAAGAAACCGCATTATCGATGCGTGCAGGGTAATTAGAGAGACTCCAGGAATATTTGAGCGAATACGTGGCTCAATGCGCCGACGTCTAGACGCATGCGTAATGTCTGAAGGTAGACATATTGAACATTTACTATGATTTCTACATGTTGTATGTTTTGTTATTATTAAATTAGTTTTGATTATTCCCCTTTAATCATTTAATGCAGGTAGTAACTACAAAATAACAGTAAATCCAGTCCGCATTTATGACGATGTATCTCTGTAGTTGTTCGTAAAATAATTTTTTGCTGCGAACTGGTTTAATTTGGGCAAAAAATTCAAGAGACATTTTTTTTTAGAATGAAACAGGCTATCGGAAATAAATTTTTAAATGGTAAAAAAATAATAAGACAAAAAATTACGTTGGAAATAAATTTTAGGGGTTGCGTTTTCCACCCCTTACAACCATGGGGTAAACCAAATAAATTACTGGCTAAGTGTCTTTTTGGTAGTAGAAAATGTCAGGTTAATTTCAATATTGTAACTTGTTTAGTGCTTGTGAAAAAAATTGTTAAACAAATTTTATGTACCCCCTTTAAGGGGCTGTATCTTAATAAGGGATGCTCCAATGAAGTTTCTTTATATGAAAGATCCTATCTTTTTTTCGATGAGGAATCACCCCCTTAAATGTTTTACACTTATTTAGTTACACCCTGTATATTACATTCAATAAAAGGTCTACTACTTAAGTGAATACGTTGTAGTACATTTCATTCAATTCCGTCGGCGCATTATAAAGATATTGCAGAAAAAATATAGTTTTTTGTAAACTTTAACACTCTGTATCTTGAATACCGAGTTCCGCAGGAAAAAAGTTTATAGACCAAACTACTGATTTTTCGGTAATTATTGATGAATCTGTTATAGTCCTGCGGTTTCTGTATTTAAATTGAAATCACCATGTATATTATTTTAATTTGCGCCATCTACTAATCACTTAACTGTAGTAATTCTAGTAGTGGTGATTTTGGTGAGCCCCTAGCAGGAAGATGGCGCTGTATGTCTGTCTAAAACATTTGCCCGAAACCTAAATAAAAATCACTGATCCGTGAAAATTTTTAAATATTTTGGCAGAATTAAAACGACTACGTATTTGAAATCCTTTATTACACAGCTAGTATGAAGTACATTGTATACATTCACACCAACAAATACAGTTACTTTGGCTTAAAATAAGGGTCTTTTTGTTTTAACACGCAGACCAATCTCTTGTCGTTAACATTAAATACACTATTCTGACGATACAGATCCTCATTTATAAATTATCCGTTTAAAAATATTATGTGTGCATATTTGGGGGTACACAGATACAGAATAAGTAAATGTGTGATTATATACAGTTTTCCTTATACGAAGTTATGTTAATATCACAGGTTCCAAATGAAATTTAAAAATTATATATACATTTAACATTTATAAATAACGTTATACGTACATGTATACATACAGTCATTATTATTAAGAATTTGTAATATCACACAGAACGATTTCGCAGAAAACTATTTCAACTGGAGAATGATATGTGCGTTGAGAGGTACATACATGTAGTGGCTGAGAAATTAACGTTGGATTTTTACTATCCTCATTCGAAAGGGTAGTAAAAAACTGTTCCGTTGAAGATCTACACTTAGGCGTTACTTTAGTGAGGTAAATGACGTTAACGGGGAGTTAAAATAGAGTTCTGCCTTTACACCTAGCGATTTAATAATGTCATAAGACTTTATGGGCTCATTCGATAAAATCTTATGAAAAATCAAACGAGGGAATAAAAAAAGCTAACTATATCCTCTAAAACACCTACTCCTACAAAATTATACATAAATCATTAGAAAAGTGTTTACCCTGCCTATGTTTTACCTCTAATTTTTGTCACATTCAAATTAGCTATGAAATAAATCGGGAATTTTAAATTCGTGTGTACCTATTTTGAGAAAATTAGAAACGTGACTTATTTCAATTCCAGTTTGACAGAAATCGTAGCGATAATAAAAGCTACAATACCTGTCAAACTGGTGACGCGTTGAGCGACTACAACTCAAAATTTCGATGTACAGAGTGCGTTTTATAATAAAAGTGAAGACATGGATTTTCATAAATATATACAGTGTGTCTCGTTAACAAATTCAAATTAATTTTTTTTAACAGTAGTTTTTTACAAGTACTTGTACCAATTACGATGGCCTGCTGCGACTTTTTTAAAGGGACTGTTCTGAAAATTACTAAACCTTAGATTTTCATCAATTTATAGCGCATAACTTTTTTTAAACAGACAAAATTTTGATGTATGAAGTTTCTGTTTCAAAAAAGTCTAATATAGGTAATTAAAAGTTATTTTCACAATTTTAAACCCATGTACTATTATTTACCAGTTATAATCGTTTTCATTTCCATTTCATTTTCATTTTCAACGACTCCTAGATTTTTAAACTGAAAGGAATCTTCATAAATTTAACATTTTAAAGGCTGGCTCATGTTAGAACTAAATTTACAATTTTTATGCGAAAGAAAACTACGGAAAAAGTTTATATAATTCCAACTTTTCTACGAATTTAGTTGATTTTTGCTAAAACTCGGAACTAACGGATAACAGAGATCGACAAAATTTGAATCCAGAAACCAGACCATACTTTTCCGATATATCCTAACCTAAAATGCAAGAATCACGATATTTCGCCATATTTGAGGTTATGTTACGTCAAGACGTAATTTTCCCCACAAAACAATATCGACTAATGCGCCCAACTGATCAAATTTAACTATTTCTATTTCTCGCAGAGGAAGACAGATGACCGAACAATTCAAAATAGATTTTGAAGAAGAGTAGTACTTTCAGATACCATAACGAGTTTTGTGATGTAACATAACCTCAAATGCTACAAAAAACGCGTTTTCATACTTTTAGGTTAGAATATCTGACGTCGTACAGTTTTAAGTCTGTATAAAAGTTATTCTGGATTATAAATTGATCTACGGATGATTTGAGTGATGCCAATCCGATTATAATTTTCCGAAAAGTCACTTCCAAAAAGAGTTGTAAGAAGCTATTATTTACTTACCAAGCACCAAGCCACCATCCTATTGGTTCAGCAAATACATCTACGTAAAAAAAATAATTCAGGTGTGAGTTCCAAAAAAATATTTAGAGGGTTGTTCCGACGAGTATTCAACTACACTTTTCATTAATTGTTTTAATTATTTCCTGTATAATTTCCTTTCAACAAGTCCCGTTTTAGATATTAATACTTCATCACATTTCTCATAAACAATAATTTTTGATACCATATTCCTTCATTGAGAATTTAAGGAAGATAATCCGGCATCTGTCACTGATGACACTAATAAAGTTTTTAGGAACTTTAGGTACTTTGTACATATAGAATAATTTCGCAAAAAAATGTTGGACTTCTATGCATTTTTTTAATACTGATCTTTATTTTCCATAAGTGAGTGTTAATTTTTCAATAACATTTATTAACCCATCTTGATTTATTTAACAAGAATGGTAAAAATCCACGATAAGTTTTGAGTTTTCCAATTTCCATTCATAGATAAAATAGGTTCAGTCTTGGTCTTTCGATTCGTTGCCAATGTCACTAGGTGGCGTTTTTCTCAACGTTACTAACACATTTTTTCCCAAACAAAAAATTTGTAGTCAGAAATGTTCACGAGCTTTTGTTATTTACTTCTTGGAATGTTCAGTCTAATCAAATTAACTTCTTATTAAAGTGAAAAATATTTATCGTTATTAGAAACATTCTCAATTAAAAACATTTTAACAATTTTCCAAAATACTCAGTGGTGCCTGAATTTTGTTTTTTTTTTTTTAGTGGAGAGTACAGGGCGAACATATTCTCGGTGAAAACTTAGTGCACGTTTAAATGACAGTTACATGGAATATACACCATTTTGTCACATTGGCAACGAATTATAAGAAAATCGTCCTATGAGTTCGTTAATTACTGAAGTTGCATCAGGAATGTAAATCTCCACAGAAAAAGAAGAAGAAGAAGTCGAATAATAAGAAGAAGAAGAATAGGTACAACGTTAAGAAATAATTAGCAAATACAGTAGGTTCAATATATACAAAGATAACGCAGTCCCACGAAAAAAACATTGCGATCGCCATAAAATAGAACATGTTGTTACACATTTTCGGCCAGTGAATCTGAATTTGACCTCTGTTTTAACCCAACACTACAGGATTTTGTATATCGTTAATTTATATCTGGAAAAGTCCTCAATCGTGAATTCCATTCAACACAAAACCTCTCGACTACAAACTCTGTAACCTTGAAACCCCCAACTTCAATCCCCATATCAACACAACACTGTTCCTAGATAATACCAAAAGCCTGAGAATACGAAAAATCTCCATCTAATAAAGATCTTGATCTTCGAAACTTTGGAATAGGAAACTCAGTAACCCTATTATCCTTTACCAGAAACTACCAAAATCTCATGAGCCCAATAGGAATAGGAATTCAAATTTATGGTTGACTAATCTTCGAATCAAATCTTAAGTAATCCTATAACCCCCTACCTCTTCATTAGAAATCACCATAAGCTCATAAACCTATGAACTTCATAACCTAGGAGACTGAGAATGCAATGGACAAGATGAACGAGTATAAATCTGTCCACTGTATTATCAGTGTTGGGATTATGAAGTTATGGTGATTTACGATAAAGGGTTACGGGATCGTAGGGTTGCTTCAGTCTCGGTTCAAAGGTTTGTCAACCAAAAATATCGTGATCATTTGGTATCCTGCGTCCCGTTCACTCCGTTCACAGTTCCATAGGGTTATGAAGGCTCATGAGGAGGAAGGTGGTTTCTGATAAAGGGTTGCAAGGTGTTAGGGCTACTGAGTTTCCCATGTGAATGTTTTGGAACCCATCCAAGCCGTCATTAGATATTTCCTCCTCATACAATCACCCAAATTGAAGTTAGTTGGCTTCAAGGTCATACAGTTTGTATGAAATGGCCTTGGAAATCAACCATTGGGACCCTTTCAAGGTATACATATAAATTAACGAATTGCAAAAAGTCCTGAAGTGTGGGGTTAAAACAGACATCAGATTCAGAATGGCTCAAAATCTGTAGCAAACCATGGTCTGCTTTCCGGTGCAGACAACTTTCTTTCTGTGGACCTGCGTAATTAGTCGTTGCTTCCAGATGTTCACACGCCCTCCGGCGCTTTTCGTTACAAAACTACCCTCTGACAGACCAATAAAAAATATATCTACTTAAACAGATTTTTACAAAGTCCGCGTCCGCTTACAAACTGGTCGGTTGCGACGTTACGGCGGCGCCGTTTTTCACCAGGCTGTTTTTACATACGTTGTCCCTGCTATCGCAGAGGTTCGTCGTGCGGCTCGTCATCGTGATGGCGGACGTGGAAGCGTCCCCCCTGCTCACCAGGGGGCCGACGTCGCACTCGTCCTCGTTGTTGGCGCAGACGGAGGTCCCTCGTGTCCTGCTCGGTCGTAGTCTCTCCGAGCTCTGTTTGGTTTTCTTGGGGAAGACGCTGTTCTCCAGGTGGAGCGTCGCGTTTACGTCCTTGTTCGCCGCGCAGGTGCAGGCCTTCAGGAAGCTCTTCTTGAAGTTGTCGCTCAGGAACGCGTACAGGATCGGGTTGACCGCCGAGTTGGAGTAGCTCATGCAGGAAGCCAGCAGGTGGAGGGTAATCGAGAACCTGGAATGGAGAAACATTAATTGGTTGCAGTTGTTTTCTCAATAAGTATCCTTAAATTTTCTCTTTTGATGCGTTGTTTTATTACATAGTCGACAAAAACTTCAACTGATGGATCTATCTTAACTTTGCACTTACGTGTCATGTGTCCCATCTATGGCGAGTTGCGTGATCCAATACGGGAGCCAGCATATGACGTATACGGTGACCACGGTCAGAACCAAGTTGGTGACCTTCCTGTGGGAACGCTTCTTTTCCTTGGACTTGTTCTTCGGCCCCACGGTCTTCAGTTTCTTGATGACCAGCCAGTAGAACACCAGAATGAGACACAAGGGTATGGCGAAGCTGAAGAAGAACGTGTACAAGATGAAAATTTTCGCCGGAGCTGCGGCTTCATCAGTGGAGTTACCGGAGAAATTCCCCCATTCTATGACGCACGACTTCTCGCCGTCGAAGTCTACCTCTTTGGCGTGCTGTATGATGGGTATGATGAGGAATATGCTGAAGGTCCAGGCCAGTAGGGACACCACTTTGGATATGAAAGGGGTCCTCCATCTGGGAGAGGAAATTGGGTGGCACACCGCTATGTACCTGTCAGCGCTCATAATGCACAGCAGGATGGAACTGGTGAACTGATTAATACTGGTCGAAATCATGTACGCCTTACAAGCGAAGTACCCGAATATCCAGTGTCGATGCAGGAGCGTGGCTATCAGAAACGGTATGCCTATCAGAAAACACTCGTCGGCTATAGCTAGATTCACGATGTACATATTGGTGACTGTTTGCATCTTTGAAAAACGGATCACTACGTAGATGACTAAGGTGTTGCCTACTAGACCTACTAGACATACTATTGTAAAGAGGATGGTCTGGATGATCTGAACTACTACTGGGAATATGTTGCCCTCGTGAAAAGAGTCCCCGATGTCCGTGTCGTTCATATTGGATCCGGAGTTTCTTTGCGTCACATCAAGTGGAGTCGCGCTATCTGAAAGAGGAGGAAACATATCGTCAAACTGGCGTGAAAGCTGTAATACGGCATTTAATTGGCAATTAAAATGTCTCTGATAATTAGGTTTTCAGAAGTAAATGCGTGTACCACTGCCATGTACGTGGTCTCCCAATGTTCCGTGGACATGGAGCTACTACAGTTTCCTGAGATCGCACCTAGCAGGTTTAACTAGGTTTGTCTCTATTTGAAGCTGCTTCGTTTAGACGCTAGATGGCATCACAGTTCACAACTAAACTTTAAAGCGTCTTGTGAGATTTTATGAAACCTGCACAGAGGGTGCCAATCCTCCGTACAAGCATAGCTAGTCTACGGTCTACCGGCCGCGGGATTCGAAACCCGGGCAGATCGACACATCGATTTAAGTACTGACGCCTTATCGACCGTGTTGATTGATAACAATGATCATATTGAAGAGTTTTTATAACAGACCGTCTAGTACAAGTTTCTGTAAATTAGGATACGTTATTTTGTGGAAAAAATAAAAGTTATAGCATGATCCCGACAAAATTATGAAAGTATAAGTCAAGGGAGGGGGTATTTTTTACAGTTCTGTTAATCCATTTACTTATTAGTTTAATATGTCATAATGTGACATCTATATGGAAGTACCAAATTTCAATAAACATCTTAAAAAGCGCTTCGAAAGTATTTAAAAAAAAACAACAATTTTTTTTGGTCAACTTTGCATTTTAGCGTCTAAAAGAAGCAACTTAGAGTAGAGCTAAGTTTAGTTAAATACGCTTTAAAATAAATTTCCAGGAAATTCAGGAAACTGTGATTATTAAGGAGGATCGAGTGCTTCATGCTTCAAAAATATTCTTTATGACTAGAAAGTAAGTAGATTGAGATACTTATGTGCGTTTAAAATACTTAAAATTATATATTTCCATTCCTTAATTATTATTTTTTACCCAATATGTGTAAATAAATGCCAAAAGTTGTAACAAAAACCTGGCAACAGCGCACGAGTATGCTGAGTTTATTATTTGTAAGGTGGCAGAAAGGAAAAGTTGTGAGCAAAAAAAAGTATCAGTGCTTGAGAATTAGAACAGCAAGTAGCAAAGACAGGAAAAAAGCTGTCGAAGAGAAGGTTGTGGAACCAGAACCTCCGCACACCGTTCAAGGGCATCAACTAATCCATATGGAGTACATAGCACAAAGCATGCACTGCTCTTTTTGCAAAGGACTTTTACTTATTTTAGATTATTTACAAACTTGGATCACAAAGGGATTCGCGTGGAAAAGTTTAAATATGATTTGGTTGCATGCGTAAGTAGCGTACTTCTATGGGGCACTTCTGTGAATACAAATGTTTCTTATAAGACAAGAGTTTAAAGCGATTGCATTTGGGAAAGTATAATACAATTTGATATTAGTATAGTATTATACGATGTTATTGCAGCCAAAAATATTCTAAAAAATATACTATACTATTATTAAAATGTTAATTTAAAAATGAAAAATGATATTAAAATTGTCATAATTTATCAAAACTCATACTTTTTAAACTTTTTTATTAAAAATTAAAAAATATATCTATTTCTCTGAACAGAAAGTTTACATTTTTTAGAGTAAATTGAAAAAAATTATATGAAATTCATTCATTTTTTTGCTTGTGATTTTTTTGGAATTTCTGAAATCATTCCATAACTTCTAGTCTCCCTAACTCTGTTAATTTTAATGGTATAAAAAAGGTCAATATACCATTTTTATGTAGAATTTTATGCTCTACAACTTTTATAAGAAACTTTTTTTTCTAGTTCTTATCCCTTCTGAGTTATATTGAAAAACCCCTTGATTTTATCTTTTTTCACCCCTGGCCGGGGGTTGAAACAAAAATTACTGTCGCTTATTGTTATTATATACCCTAAACTAACTTATATCAAAAATTCAGGCAAGTTACCAGCAAAATTATGATTTAATCATTGTTTTTAAATCGTACCATTCTACAATTTCCCCTATATCCTGTCTATACATTTGTTTTTGTGCAGACTCCACCTTTTCTTATTAAAAGTTAGATTGAATTTTTATTTATTCCTCTAACAAAAGCCAATTGCATTTCCGTTTTGTATATCGTATAAAGTTTTCCACTCTATGCTAATTTTTCCTACCGAAATCACCTGAAAGACTCTGCTGGTGAATAATACTTATCTAGAACATTAAACAAAAAAAGAAAATGAAAAATACGTTCTTGTTCTCAAAAACTAGCATGGAGATTGTTTTAGCAGTGAAAGATATACGGAATTTCAGAGATTAATTTATCACATTTAAAACTGAAAATAAGAAAAATGCATACAGGGTGTTCTACAAGCTCTATGACAAACTTTTAATAAGTATAATAATTATTGTTATAATAACCAGTCATTTTTAGTTATCAGGCCACTTTAATTCTCACAAAAACTTCTGCTGACTCTTGTTGGACTTAAAAATGCCTATGCTGGTCTCCATCTTAATTATACTTATCCGTTATACTTGAATATAGCGAAGTGACATAGCAGACGCGCCTATAAATAGTTCTGCTATCAAATATTTAAAACCTCTTTGGAATTTCCTTTTACAGGAGGATAGAGCTCATACACAAATATACGATGGTTTTAAATTTAAATTTCACATTAACTAGAAACTATGGAATCTCAAGATGCACCCCTGATCCCGGTTTATTATTCTAGAGGGTAACTCCAGGAAATAAATCTAGTACGGATGACAGCTAAAGGGACAAAGTAAAGGAGCATCGTTTCACGTTTAAAGTAAATCGCCCAAGTTGGCAGACATTTACATGCATATTGGGGGCTTCCCAGTAAAGCACTGACCTGCTCAAGTTGATCTCAGCCGGGGAAACTTCACAAAGGACTTGTCCCTTTATATCATATCACTCTCCCGTTCTGCACCTGAAAGAAAGATAAGCTTCAGTTTATTTAATAATACAACCACAGTCTTGCAATTTTGAAAATAAAACGTTGCTTAGGGGTAGTAGTACTTGTTCCGAACGCTTACGAAAGACAACGGAGGCTAGCCTCCTCTGCTCAGATAATGTGAATAATAATCTAGACTTGGAATCATATTTATTTATTGCCGCTAAATTAAAAATAAAAAATTAGAATTCAATAATTTCTGGCGGAGTAAATGTTAACTCTTTCATCTCAATTTTTATGGATTTAATTACTGTGTACCTCAGTTATTTACTCAATAACGCTCGTCAGTGAAATCGATAGTACAGTCGCACATTCAACCACTTCATTACGCTTGATTCATCTTGAAACTTAATAACGGTAGATGTGTAAACGACAATTTAATCACATTGAAAAGTAAGTAGATTTAACTCAGTTATGAAGTTATAAGTTAGAAATTTCATTATCTTCCATAGCAGGATCCCTAATTAAATAACAGAGCTTCACCATGGAATAATATGGCATCTTGTAATATTGTACGAACTAAAATCGAAAAGTACTTACTATATTATATAAGGTACCTGTTAGATACCTGTAAGTTGGTATTATAATTAAACAATGAATATCATCACATTATGTTATGCTGAAATTACCGTATCGTTATTAAAAAAAATCATCTAAATTGTCTTGTCTGTATCTGTCAGTGTGTCGATATATATATTTGTTAATATAATTCATACCAAAAACGTACATACGATCATTCTCACTTTGAAAATTTTAGATGAGCCACCAGTATATTCCACAGTTATGTAATTACATGTAACCCCTTCAATCATTCCATTGAAGTTTAGGAATTTTTAGTTGGTAGTACCAACCGTGCAATGTTGGTTGCTTATGCTCGACGGTCAAGCGGCTTATAATCATTTACCAAACCTCTGTACGAATGTGATATTTATATTTTTCGCGTAACATATATGCAGTGGCGTCCCGTGGGTTTGAATACAGGAGGGGCGTATTTTGAAAAGAGGATGTACATCATAAGAGCTGCAGGGAGTGTGGGGGCGGGAGGCCCTCGCTTAGCGCCGCAGGCGAAAAATTTTAAGGAATTTGAAGGTCATTGTGTTTTGCAAGTACCCCAAAATGAATACTGTCAGTGTGTACAGTAGCTACTTAGATACAATGCGAGAAATAAAATTCCAACGTGTGGGGGCTGAAGTGGATAATCGATCAACCAACCCAGTTAGGATATAATTATGTAGATTACTGTAATAGTTCATTCTGTATAGTTTTTGAAGTTCCTTTAAAAACATGGGCATCACTAAGATGTTTATCTAAAACGGGATCAATTTTTGCACTATAGTCTATCAGTTCTAAAAATACCCCTTTGTTTACCGAGTCACTTTTTTTATTATGTCCACGAAGAGAAAGGTTACATGTACCACATAGTTTTAAGATATTTAAAATTTTTGAAAGAAGCAATCGATTTTTCTTAACTGTTTCGTTATGACTATTTACTATTTATTTGTTCTGCATAAGCACTATTTAAACAAGAAGCAATATTTACTCTTCCTAAAAGTAAAAAACTCACCAACTTATTTTTGTGTTTAGGAGAATTTTCATGTTTCTTAATTTTAATTTCTAAATGTTTCAAGTCAGAAACTCCAGTTTTCCTCCAGTTTTCTTCGCCTCCTCCAAACAATAAACATACAAAACAAAAAAATCTATTTGTTTGGTCACAACCACACAACCACAGGGTCTTATCATAAATGTTTTTATCAAATTTGCGAAAGCCGGCCCACTTTTTGCACTCTTTCTGCACCTGAACTAAATTCAACACTGGCGTTGGACGTCCGTTATTTTTCAATTCGACTTTTTCCTCTAAACTTAAATTACTAATAACAAG